CTATAGTTTCCCTCTCAGGAAGGTGAGTCGACATCCCATCAATTCAGCACCACTCTAAGTCTGCCCATCGTGTCTGGACGGAAACCAGAGCAGCCCTGTTACGCACCAGCGAACGCAATCAGCAGATTGCTGATCGCCATTCATGTTCTGCACCCAGTTACAGTCCAGTTTGGATGTACATTTAACCGGGAACTCGTGCATCCTGAGACCCAGATTCATCGGGCCATTCGAGATGGAAGCGGTCGTGAACCCTTTCACCATCAAGCTCTGCCTGGCACCCACTCTCAAGGTTCATCCTGTCGTCCATGTCTCCTTAGTTAAACCTGTAGACTCCAGTCCACTTGCGTCTCCGCCTGCCCCTCCACCTCCTCCTAGAATTGTGGACGGAGAACCGGGATATACAGTCAAGAAAATTTTGGATTCCAGGAGCCGTGGCAGAGGGGTGTAGTATTTGGTTGACTGGGAAGGCTACAGTCCGGAAGAGCGTCAGTGGGACCCCGCTCCTGGATCCTGGACCCGTCACTCCTCATCGAGTTTCATAAAGCCAATCCGTCAAAACCAGGTAGTCCGCCAGGCGGCATCCGTTGGCGGTGGGGGGGAGGGGATGGGGGGGATGTGGTGTACTGTCATGTTCTCTGTTTTGCTTGTGTTTCAGCTCCAGCTGGAGTGAAGGGAGTGTCCCTCCAGCAGGTGCACCTGTTCTACGTTTACCACTCAAGCCTGCCATGTATTTAAAGACTGCCAAGCTGCCGAATCACTGTCGGATTATTGACCTTGCTCTCTGTTATGCTCAAGACATATTTTCTAGACCTCACGCTCATAATCGCTCCTTTTCTGATTATACCTTGTATTTTAAGTATTTTGGTTTTCCAATTTTTCTTGCCTGACTTAAGTTTCGTGCGTTAGGGCCTTTGCCATTTTGTTTTGTGTATTTTCGGGCGTCAATATTACCTTTTACCAAGCGCTTTATGTTCATATTTGGTTTTCCTGGCTCTTTGTAGGCAGCGATTTCATTTTTCTGTAAATAAATATTTTTGTTTTATAGTTTGTCTGAGTCGGTGTGTGTGGGATCCGCACACCATCTGGTTCGTTTCTGAAACTTGTCACACCCATTAGCAACGGAAAAAAAATACTTGCAGGCAGTGCACCATATGGCAGTGTCAAATGCATTGGGTCAGATAATGGTACAGAATACTGTACACCAATAATACCTTTCAGTCACTCTTACGGGTTAAAGGCATTAGACATGAATCCTCTTTACTCTCCACACCAAAATGGTACGGCCCAACGACAGTGGGGAGCGCTTTTTGAAATGGGACGGTGCCTGTTATAAGAAAGGGTTACCAAAAATGCTGTGGCCTTATGCTACGCAAAAAGCTACCCACACCCACAACCGATATTACAATGACAGGGTTAAAAACACTCCATATTTCACGATGACAGGAAGAAAGCCAGATCTTTCCAAATTGTGGGTGATCAGAATGCATGATCGCAAGAAATTAGACGCCAGATTTTAAAAGGGGATTTTTGTTGGGTACAGTAAAGACTGCCCTGCATATCTGGTATATAATCCACAAATAGAAAAAGTATCAAAACAGACACAAACAGAAATTACACAAACAGAAACAAATGAATATGATTCCGAAATCCTGGGAAGCAGGAGTAACATTGGTGATGGTGATGATAAACCACACAGTGAAGACGGCAAAGACAGTCATGACTTAAATGAGAATGAGGGAATGTGTTATGACCCCTCCACCTGATGGCAGCATGGAAACATAAGTGTGGGGGTGATGGAGAAGAAAAAGTGGTGCGCTACCATGGTTTGGCCTTTCTAAGACAAGCGAGTACTAATACGGGTCGGGGACAAGTGAGTACTAACATTGGAACACACACCGCAATAAGATGAGACTGGAGTAAACACTCCCGAATTCCCACTGCCTTCGTGCACACCGAATAAATACTGGAAATGAATGAACCAAAACGAATTATGGCGAAGCTCCCAAACACACAAATGAATAGTGGACATGAATGAACTGGATAGACGATGGTTAGGGCAGAGGAACAAATTTTGCAGCTCTAATCAAGAGGCAGTGGTACGTAGGACACGTGAGGGATTGGGGCTGGCAAACGCGATAAGCCAATACTCAGAACATAACACAGGATAGTGAAAACTGAAAACAACCGAGTCGTTTTAAACAGTGGTGGTTAATCTTTGCAGGTGGCAACACACCTGAAACTAGTTGCTAATTGGGGTCACTTTCCCCTGCACTGATTGGTCAGCCAAGCTGTGAACAATGGCCACCAATCAGCAAAGAGCAGGGGAGAGCTCCCGCACACATGTCACATGACATTAGCCATGACACAAAAATAAAACAAAATAAATGGCCACGAAATATCGTGGACCGTAACAGCACGATAAACACAAATGCATCGCAATATAATGAGACTTCTGAGGTGCGAAGTGAAAACGACACGGATGCGGGCCCTGATTCCTGTCAGAACCGCCACTATCCAAGAAGGGAAAAAGAATATTCCAAAATACTTCGATGATTAGCTGAGACTTCAATGACAATGATGTCGTCAACGAAAATGTTGATTATTGTCACAAGGCCATATGTGGCGCCCCCAAGCTTACAGTGAAGCCCATATGTCGGTCGAGGAGTCCGCATGGATCCACGCAATGCTGCAGGAGATTCAAGCACTCCAAGCTAATGAAACCTTGGAAACTCATTCCTTTTCCTGGAGGCAGAAACATAATTGGGGGAAAATTGGAATATGCTTCAAAAGAAAATACTGAAACAAGAAAACGAAACACCGCCCATCCATTTCAGACTGAGGTCTGGGGAGGGGTGTCTGGGTAGTTATACAAAAGGCCAAACTATTGAATAAAATGAGTGCAGTTGTGACACTCATCTTATCCAATCAGAAGTCCCCGTTGTGTAACGTGAGAGATGAAACCAAAGTAAAAAAAAAAAATCGACTAAATGTTAAAGCTCCTTAATTCCGTGACTAACCATGTAAAACCATGACAATTCACCATTCCTTCCCGAGTATGACCGTATAAGTAAGATAAGACCAAACGATGTTAGAAGTCAACGTGGAGAATTGAACAGATGGAAGAGTTTAATGACAACAGGGTTTGATTTTTTTTACGAAGTTTCCGAGTTTCCAACAAGTTAAGGATGTAAGTGGAAACACTTGTCCTAAATCTTTTAATCTACCTGCAGTGTCAGGCTTTACGAGAGAAGTGTCTGGGGAATGTGGCTCAACTTGGGACCGTGTACTGTTTTGCTATTTGGAGAGAAAACACAGAGACACGTTATATAACCACTCCATTGAGCCTGTGGGAGCGAGACGGAATGCATTGACGTCACGAGGAAGGAAGGAAGCAAGCAAGGGCGCTCTCTCTCTCTCTCTCTCTCTCTCTCTCTCTCTCTCTCACACTCTTTTTCTTTCTCTCTCTATTAAGGAAATCCTTTTTTTTGAGCGTTTATTCACGATCCTTGGTATCCAGTTTAATTTCCACGACCTTGTATGTCCTTCTGCCCTTACTAGGAAGACAAAATAGAACAACTACAATCGGTCTTATTAGTAACATTTTGTCCAGTACTAGTGCCACTTTCGACCTATCGAACAAACTTGTGACAAAATGCTGTGCTGAACTAGTAACACTTCCAGGCCTAACTAGTAGGCACATGGCACATCTTAGTAGCCTCCTAATTATAATGAAGAGCTAATTGGTAGAATGTAACAATGTCATTAGTAGTATCAGTAGCACACAGTTGTCATTTAGTGCACTACTGCCACACTAGTATCATGAATTTCTTCCACTAGAATGCCAAAGTTGCCTACTGTATAGGACAAAGAGTGGACATGAATCTTTATGAGATGGAGATCAAGCATATCTAATGCTAAAATGGCTTAAGCCATTTGAGCATTTGTTCAATGTCCTTGACAAGGAGGCTACTGGAGTGCAAAACATGCCAACTACTGTAGTTGGGCCGAGTAGTGTTGCGAGCGCAGAACAGTAGTTTACTATTACGTGCTTAGTAGTTGATTGATGAACATAAAGAGTGCAAATATCAATAATGTAATTCCCTGAAAAAAGGTTGAAGCCAATTAAAGAACAAATTAATAACATAAGACTAAGAAGAAGAAAACCTTTATTCATCTCACAATGGAAAAATTCCAATTTACAGCAGCAAAGTTATGAAAGGAAGAAAGTAGAAGAACATACCCTGCGTGTTGCCATAGTGGACATTTTTGATGAGTTCACCTAAGTGTTACAATGCTAATTTAATGCAACATATTGAGAATTTCATTCTAAAATTTTCAGACTATGATTAGGGTATTCATGGGCAGCACAATGGACGACAGGTAAGCACGTCTGTCTCACATTGCTGAGGTGCAGGGTTCAATTCCAGCTCCGGCCTTCCTGTGTGGAGTTTGCATGCTCTCCTTGTCCCTGCATGGGTTTTCTCTGGGTACTCCAGTTTCCTCCCACATTCCAAAAACATGCACGGAAGGTTAATGGAACACTTGAAATTGTCCCTAGGTGTGATCGTGAGCGCAAATGGTTATTTGGCTGGCAACCAGTTCGGGGTCTCCCCCGCCTAGTGCCCAAAGACAGCTGGGATAGGCTCCAGCACGCCCGCGACCCTTGTCAGGATAAGCGGATTAGAAAATGAATGGATGGATGGATTAGGATATTCATGCGTGGTAACTGGAGGCACAGAATGTGTGATGCTTCACTTCCTGCCCATGCATGTTTGAACAGGAAATATGTGCATTCAGTTATTTTATAATTCATTGGTAATTATTGGATAGAAAAAGAAACTCAATGTGAAGCACGGACTGTAGAACTAAAATGGATCTCATTTAATGTCATCATTTTCAATTTTTTATTCGTCTGTGGATATCAAATAATTGCTCAAAAGGTTTTAGATTCTCTCTCTCTCTCTCTCTCTCTCTCTCTCTCTCTCCCCCCCCCCTCCTTCTCCCTCAGCCGCCCTCACATTGGCTCTCCATTCCAGTGAAGGAGGCAAGGAGGAGAGTGCGCACGCGGAGAAAACATGGATCTGAAGGAAGGAAGCGGAGGAGCCGTCGTCGACGATGCAGTTTATTTTTAAGTTCAGCGGTTGACAGCGGATCGGGTTGCGCGTCCCGAGATGTTCGCGCCGACGGTAAGTTTGACGGCGTCGTCAAGGAATATTTCTGCCGTTGCGTCCTTTGCTCGTGCCGCGTTCGTCGGTCTGGCGGAAAGGCAGCAAGCCAGCAGGATGGCCGATGTGCCAAGTCGGCGCTGCAGTTGTGGGCCGGCCAAGTGAACGAACAGCTGGCCGCGACAACGCAGTTGGCATCTCACTCGGCGACACCACGACCAGACACAATTAATACTGCGCCTGTTAAGACTAGGAGGCCTTCGTTTAGCCTGTAGGCAGCTCTGGCCGCACGTAAACAACAGCGAGGCTGCCGGGTTGTGATGTTCTAGTGATGAGGATGGAGCGGGATGATGAGAGGGTTGCGTGAGAAAGAACGATGCGCTTAACAGAAGAATGACGGATGGTGATGTCAGATGGGCTCGGTACCCTTGGGAAGATCAGATGGTGACATCATTCGCGTAAACGCCACATTCGGACATTCCTGGTCAAACTAACATGGGAGCGCGCACTCACACACTCGGGCTGGCATACATTAAGGTTTCCTCTTACAATATTGATCAGGCGCGCCATTTGTGCGGGGTGAGTGTAATTTGAGATAGCCCAACGTTGTTCCCTCATTCCACATGAGACAATGGAAAATGTTGGACTCTATAGCCAGAGATGTTTACTACAAGAGCTGAACGATTTTGAAAACTACATCATCAATTATGCAATTACGATATACTGTAATATGTTATCGTTTTTTCAGAGGCCTCTTCCCGTGTATTTTTTTTTTTAACAAACTCAAGCAAAACATTAATTTGTATTGCTATAAGCAATATCAGATGTATCAAATATATAAATGGTTTGGTCAATAATTTGGTGTTTTGACCATAAAGATAACTTATAAAATTATCTGACATTGGTACTCTCTCATTTGGTACCATACTGACATTGGTACCATGTCTTAATGCAAAATACTGTATATAAAATGTGGAAACTGTGTTTTTCATCTGACTATTTTTTTTATTTTCCCTGCTAGGCAATCCCCTTGCAGTAAGGAGGATTGTGACCAAGCAAGCCCCTCTTCCTGCAACCTCCAAGGTTCTCTATACATTTAAACACTCTTTGATGTCAACATGGAATGTGGCGAGAACATCCCAGCCCAAGATGAACATCTCAAGTCAGACCGCTTGAATCTCAGCGGACTGTACCATGTGGGTCGGACCTTGGGAAGGGGTCACTATGCAGTGGTCAAACTTGCTCGGCACGTCAACACTGGGCAGCTGGTTGCTATTAAGATGATTGACAAGACCAAACTCGATGTCATGGCGACAAGCCACCTCTTACAGGAAGTCAGGTATGGCGGGCTTCTGCTATCTTCATATAAACCATGGATGTCAAACAATGGGCTCTTCTCATTTGTCAAATTGCTGCTTCCTCGGTCCTCGCTCCTCTGTTTACATGCTAGCACCTCCCACCAGAAATTTCATTGAGAAGGGAGGAGATTGGCAAAGGAGCGAGGCGGGAAGAGGTAGAAATGTTTTGGGATAATGAGACGATCACTCCTGGATGATGTCATTTCATAGAAACATGGACTGAAGATGATGACACGTCATTTACGCGTGTCACAAATTCACCGTCTGCATGTCAATTATTACTTTCAACACAAATGTCACTTTGTACCTGAACTTTATGTTTCCAGTGAGATTAAATTCAAGTCAACTATCCACATTGTTACGCTTCACCACTTTGCAGATGCAAAGACGGGCACAATTGGTCTGTGCCAAGCGTGTCTCCCCCATCCCCACCACTACCAATGCATGCTGTGCACATTTGGGGTGACTCGTAAAACATGTAGAGATGCTGCTTATGCATTATGGTTGAATGTGAAAAAAAATTCAAAAACCATAAAAAGGTTTTTAATTTTCTTTATGTGGCTAAACGCATTTGAACCTCGATGTGCATTTAAGGTGATTGAAATGCTCCGTAATATGGCAGTATGAGAATGACTTGCGGGTCGCTTTCAATGTTTTGAGGAGCTAGGAACCTTGCAATTAAGAGACGTGAGATTGAGCCCAATGTATTCTTTTCAGATGTATGAGGAGGGTGCAACATCCTAACGTGGTCCGCCTCTATGAGGTCATCGACACACCCACGACCCTTTACCTGGTCATGGAGCTGGCAGAGGGGGGCGACCTGTACGACTACATCCTTCGCCACGAGACAGGCGTTGCTGAGGGCACTGCCAAACGCCATTTTGCCCAGATCGTGCGCGCCGTGGCATACTGCCACGAGCTCCACGTGGTGCACCGAGACCTGAAGCCAGAGAATGTGGTGTTCTTTCCGCAGCAGGGGGCAGTGAAACTAACAGACTTTGGCTTCAGTAACTTATTCAAACCTGGGACCATGTTGGCCACCAGCTGTGGGTCCCTGGCGTATTCTGCACCGGAGATTCTTTTGGGAGAAGAGTATGATGCTCCAGCTGTGGGTAAGACTCTTTTAAGAAGACTCTTATTACTATGTTTTACTGTGTTACACAAAATTGTGACTTGAGATACAGGCACTGTATGGTGGCAGTGACTCAATTCACTTCTCAATTCACTTCTTGGCAGATACAAGGAGTGAAGAATTCTTCAAGAAAATGTTTTCAAGCTACTTATTTCCACTCCTATTTGAGGTTTACTGTCAAACTAAACATAAAACACAAAAGTTACACGTACATAGCGTTTGAGTCCGCTAGCTTCATACAAACGCTGAATAACATCTAAATTGCAACGGCTTGAACACAAATGGAGCTGCAATAGATGTCGACAGACAATATAATAGCACTAATAGTCACATTCTTTATCCTGTGCATAGAATGCCTAATTTTAGTGCTGCACTGATGAGCTGAGACTTCTCAATGTACAATATTGTCTTATAGTGACTCAATGAATCGGCCCACATAATGGCGCGCTTGAACCAGTTTATACAGTGTAATTTTGGATCCTTGTGTATTTTGACTGAAATATATCAGAGACCTTTTATTATCATAGAAAGTAATTCATTTTCTTCACTGCTTATCGCGGGGAGCCGTAAACTATTCCAGCTTGCTTCAGGCATAAGGTAAACTTTGCACCCTGGACTGATCTGACTGTCACTCACAGGGCACATATAACGACAGATAATTAGTCACATTCACCTTCACACTGTCACATCAGTGACTCATACGAAATTATGAAAATAGAAATAGCCAGCCATTATTAATATTTTATAAAGTGCAGACACTTTTTTTCCAGTCACATGTTACAGACATGCAAGTGTAAAAAAAAACAAGTTACCCGAGAACTGTTGGAAATACTGAAATAGAAAAAAATGTTCTCCAACTGAACTTATAAAATGAATGACAGCGGCAGAGCACAGAGGTGATTTGCATCATAAACCCGCATATGTTTTTTTACATTCTTTCAGTAAGTGTCAAAAACGAAGTGAACCTGTGGACGCATCCTAATTTAACTTTGACAACAACACTGTACTAAACTATTAGTACATAAACTTGTACTTACTGCTTTGAATGTGAGTCCATCGACAGTAAATCCTGATGTCACTTCCTGAGTAGAGTGTTCTTCTCTCATGCTGTTATCTTGAACACCCCTGGTTGAGGTCTGACCCTTTTGGCATTCGAGTCACACAAAGAAAAGTAAAACGCATGTAGCAAATCTTGTGATGCTCCAGATTTTATCATCCACCAGCACCTGTGGATGCTTCAATAACTACTGATGCACAATAATTATTGACCTGATAATTATCGGGCCGGTCTAAGTAATTATTTCACATACAGTGAAACTCCTCAAGAACGAAACCTACATGGGCGAAAATACCCCCTTATGTGAAAAAATCTTTATGCATTAACACCATTCCCATTCTCCTGCCCCCCATACGACGAAAAAACACCCTGTTGCGTTATACGAAATCATTTTCTCTGCTCCAGCCTCTCGAAGACATTCACTACAACAAAGTCTAATCCAACAGCGACCTCTACTGCTTCGTTTGGAAACGGCAACAGCAACCACCACACTGGTTTAAATAGTGAACGATGTTTATTTCGGTCACAGCTGCGAGTTTCCTGGACGCAACATACTCATAGCTGCTCTGCCATTGGCTTACCGAGCATCATCCTGGCCTCCGATTGGCCAAGAGGGACCTCACTGTCTGTGAGTGACTCATACGAAATTATGAAAATAGAAATAGCCAGCCATTATTAATATTTTATAAAGTGCAGACACTTTTTTTCCAGTCACATGTTACAGACATGCAAGTGTAAAAAAAAACAAGTTACCCGATAACTGTTGGAAATACTGAAATAGAAAAAAATGTTCTCCAACTGAACTTATAAAATGAATGACAGTGGCAGAGCACAGAGGTGATTTGCATCATAAACCCGCATCTGTTTTTTTACATTCTTTCAGTAAGAGTCAAAAACGAAGTGAACCTATGAACGCATCCTAATTTAACTTTGACAACAACACTGTACTAAACTATCAGTACATAAACTTGTACTTACTGCTTTGAATGTGAGTCCATCGACAGTAAATCCTGATGTCACTTCCTGAGTAGAGTGTTCTTCTCTCATGCTGTTATCTTGAACACCCCTGGTTGAGGTCTGACCCTTTTCGTGATCAAAATGAAAGACAGGACTCAAAATAAAAGACATTATCTAAGAAATTGATGTAAGTGAAAGTGAATGTTGATCGTAAATTTCGCAATTTCTTTCCCTTTTTTTTCTTTCTACACTGACTATATGAAGTGTCAAATCAGTGTGTGCTCATACTTATGCACTATTGGAATAAAAATAGAGTACACATACGTTTGTGTGTGTGTGTGTGTGTGTGTGTGTGTGTGTGTGTGTGTGTGTGTGTGTGTTTATATATGAGAGAAAAATTTTTATAGTTGAAAAACCCCCTGTTGTGAAAAATTTCTTGCTGCAAACATGATTTCGTTGTAGAGGAGTTTCACTGTAACATAAAAAAATAAAGCTCAGATATTAAAAAAAAGGTATGACGATGGAAGTACAATGAAGTCACGAAAACAAAGCAAAATAATTGCTCACCATCAGCAACTGGTGAGATCACGTGGAGGTTATCCTCATTAAAATCAATGTGAGCTAGAGTCACCTGAGGCCAACTTGGTGGTATGTGATGTTAATTATTTGTTCATCTATTGTTTTATTTCAATGTTGTCACTGCGCAGTTTTGTCACTTGTGTTCCTTTTATGAAATCTGGCCACATGCGGGTTGTTTAACGTGTTCTGTCAGTATAACTGCAGCCATATCAAATATGGTGTCACCGGAAAAGCGTTCGGCCACTTGGAATTGCAACGTGACAAGTGGCCGCCATTTTCGTGAAAGTTGCCATTGTTGTGAAAGCACTATGCAAATCCTGATGTATTGTATTGACGCCATTTTCAGAAAACGTAATGAGCACGTCAGTTGCCTCTAAAAATCCTCCTTTACCGATGAAGTCACGAAAAAAAAACAATGGTGACTTAATTACATGACGTTCTACTGCCATCACTTGTATCGAAACATACGCCTCAATGGTCATCCCAAGACATTCCAAGAGAGCGCTCTATTAGTGATATCCTCTGAAATGACCGCTCAAAAAACTGTTGTTATGCACATATTAGAAAGTCTTCTGTTTATTTCCAAGCTTATATTTCACCACCTCGAAGTCCTGTCATGTGTGTGGTGTTTAAACATCTCGTGCGCTTGTAATAGCAGAGGGCTGAGTATTTAGCGTGACTGTCTGGCAGCAGAAAAGGTCGGATTTTGTCAGCCCAAGCCATCTTTGTCCTTTCATATTAGCATTATGGAAAACAGGTGATGAAGATGAACAAAAGACAAGTTGGTGAACGGGGCCTTGTGTCATTGACAAAGATAAACATTTCTTCCAGTTGCATAATACCTGTGTGTGTGTTCTGTTCACTGAAGTGTCGCCCTAAAAAGGATTTGTTGTAGTAGATGCCTTTGAATTTCCATTTTTGTGTTGTCATTGTGATGAGACCGCGGCCGTTAGGAATATGAGCATTAAATCTGTCAGCAAAAGGAAAGTGATACTATAAAATATCAAACGTGTTATTTAGGATGTGAATTAGAATATATTTCCTACATCAGTCAATCAGAAAAATAACATACAGTGAGTGGAAAAAGTATGTGAACTCAGGATGCATTGAAATAAAAATTCTTGGCCGAAACTAAAAATCGAATATGAGGAGACAGAAACACAGAAAGAACTTTTAATACCTGAAAAACTAGAGAAAAAAAATCCATCCAGTATATCTAAAAATAGGTAAAGCTTCGTTCGGATAGCAAAACTCATCGTAATTTGAAAACTGAAATGAATATTAAATCACATTTTTCTACAGAAAATAGTCTGAAGGCTTCCTTTTAGTAGCGCAATAGCATGTTCAAAATGTAAAGTGTTACAAATGTCGGAGGTTGGAGCCGGAATCGAACCCTGAACCTTTGCACTGTGAGCGGGACGTGCTTACCAGTAAAGCACCGTGCTGCCCAAAACCCATTATTAATTTTCAATCATACAAAACAAACACAAAAAGACCTATCAAGTCGACGTACGTTTTTTAAAAATATATAATTTTAGGCCAACTTACAGGTTTGCTGACGTGTTTCGCAGGCATCTTTTTACTACAGATACTCGAAGCAGACAAACTTAACCTGGATCAGTGACTACAATATGTTTAACAAATGCAATAGACTTATTTTGTAACTTGAGGAAATACTAGATGTCATTTGTGATGACTATTTGCTTATGCCGCGGCTGAAGAATTGGTGGAAGGTTAGCAAAGTTGTGCTCTCTCTGAGGCACCGTAGTGCCCATGCTTCAAATGGTCGTTGCATTCTTTATGTGTTCAACACTAGATGGCAAGTGATTTTACACACTGTATCTTTAAATTAAAAAGTTGACAAAATTGACCCAAAATCCCCCACATTGTTGTCCTTATTTGGTTTCTCTTGCATAATTGTCAAGGGTACCAGTACCCATAAATTGTTTGCTTTTGCTTCATCTCGCCAGTCAGACATAACTCATTTTGCTGCTCTTGGGCATGATGTAACATGGAATCACGCATGGGAAACCGACGTCAGCGATATATTTTGGGGGAATTTATCTGTTTTTAGATCACACTGCTCCACTGTTTGCATCAACAAGGTCTGACCCAACACACACACTCCCATTCAGTCTGTTTTGAGACAACAGTCGCCCTCAAGAAATCCCAACAAATTTGCCTCTCTCATAGCCTTGTAATTCTAGCTCCAAGGGCTTGTAGCGTCATCAAGGTTATCTCGAGGTGCAAATTTTGCAACTTCGTGTTGAAGGCCCGCTTGAAAGTTGAAAAACAGCGGCTTTTATGAGCCAGTTGCACTGTCGCTTGTGTTAGGCAACGACCACTGTTGCAATGATACACCATTTAGTTATTTGGCAAGTGCAGTACTATTCATTATCTTAGGGCGGCACGACGGTCCACTGGTTAGTACGCCAGCCTCACAATTGCGAGGTGAAGGCTTCGATTCCAGCTTCGGCCTTCCTGTGTGGAGTTTGCATGTTCTCCACGTGCTTGTGGGGGTTTTTTCCGGGTACTCCAGTTTCCTCCCACATTCCATAAAAACATGCATGGCAGGTTAATGAGCACTCAAAATTGTCCCGAGGTGTGAGTGTGAGCGTGGATGGTTGTTTGTCTCTGTGTGCCCTGCGATTGGCTGGTAGCCAGTTCAGGGTGTACCCCGCCTAAGTGTCAGAAAACAGCTGGGATAGGCTCCAGCACACCCGCGACCCTCATGAAGATAAGCAGATGAGAAAATGGATGGATGGATATTACTATAATATAATATAATATAATATAATATAATATAA